TCTGTGAGCTAAAATCACTGATTTTCTCTATGGACTCTGGTCTGTGAGCTAAAATCACTGATTTTCTCTGTGGACTTTGTTCTGTGAGCTAAAATCACTGATTTTCTCCGTGGACTTTGGTCTGTGAGCTAAAATCACTGATTTTTTCTATGGACTTTGGTCTGTGAGCTAAAATCACTGAATTTCTCTATGGACTTTGGTTTAGTAGATTGAGTGATTTTCAAACTTTAGCTTCCAGTTGGAAAAAGCTTTAGAGAAAAAATCAACAAATCCTTTTTTCCTCGTAAACTAAACATATGAAAAGGAGTTTGTGGCTGTTAATATTTAAGAGCCACAAACTCTCGGGGGAAATAGTGAAATATTCCTCTGCCTGATATCGACACAGTCACGGGGGAGGAGTGGGTGGCTGATGTATGAGTTTTAATAACAGTGCACACTTTGCGACACGTCGGTCTAATCTGATATGAATCTGCATGAATCGTTCTCTAACTGCTGCTGCTGCTCCTCCTCCTCCTCCTGCACATCAGCCACTTCCATATTATTTTGTGAAACGGTTTGCGCTCACACATCCAGTGTCCCGTTGCTGTTGTTGTTGTTGTTGTTATTAATACACCTGTCCAAACACTGACAAGCATCAGCAACGTCGATACAGGGAAGTTGGTCGACCTCCCTCCCGTCATCCATCTACCTGAACAGTCTGCCTCAGAGACAGAACAACAGACTGCTGCTCCCGCTGGCTCGTCTGTTTCCCTGGTTTATTATTCACTCTGCAGAAATGTTTACCGTCCTCCAAGATCAAACTCTAAAGAGGTTGTGAAACTTTGAAGGACAAGAACATTCTTCTGAGAGTCACAGTCCACAGAGAACATCGACCTTCGTCACTGTGGATCTAAATCTGATCCCTGATGTGAGAGATGACACTCGGGAAGTGAAAACATCAGTGAGTAGACACTGTAGTGGAAAAAAACAGACGTCACGACTGTCACTGGCTTCAACTTCAGAGACATCCAAGAGAAAATCAGTGATTTTAGCTCACAGACCAAAGTCCATAGAGAAAATCAGTTATTTTAGCTCTGTGATTTTAGCTCACAGACCAAAGTCCACAGAGAAGATCAGCACACAGCAGTTGCTGACCACAGGAGGCAGCAGTGGATCAGCAGCCACTGCCATGTAAACTAAAATCACAGATTTTTATATAAATTTTTGTTCTGGGGTTAACAATATCAAAAATGTGACTCTTTGGGTAGGAATGAAAATAATGTTGGATGAACAGTCAGCTGTCAGCTCGGACTGAATTTCATTATTTCACACAGCCACTATTGAATATTATTAAATGAAAAAAAAGAAAATACAATTTCAGAATGAAAAACGCCATTGGCCATCGATGATTTTCCTCCATCTTGGTTTGTAAAGTTGGGAAACTTTCTCCTGGAGATGAATGACGTCCATTAGTGGAACATTACTCTGAGTTTTCCTCTGTAGACAGTCCAATCTGAGCTGAGAGATGGGAAGAACAGGATGGCATAATGAGAACATTTGTTGTATATTATGGGCTGATATGCAGTGATGTTGAAGGGAGGTGGGGGGGGGGGGCAGAGTAAAAGCTCACTCATTCATCTCCTGAGGCCGGGAGTTCTCAGCAGGCTCTGGATGCTGCCTTCATCCTCCAATTGTAAGAGAAAAATTCTGTCCTGCGTTTTCTCCTTCACCATATTTACAGAGAAGTAATAAACAGTGCAGAAGAAGAAGAAGAAGTGGCAGTAGCTCCTTTGATCACCCTATATACACACATTAAAAAAGAAATAAGAAGAAATTAATAATGATTTTAAAAAATTAAATGTTTTATCCCTTGGGCTCTGTGGAGAAACATGGTGACGTGATGTTGTTTTGCTGAATAAACTACTGAAACCAAACACATTTAAGGAGGATCTGAACGTTTCCTATGAACCACTGGACAAAATTCAATTCAAATGGATCAAATTAAGTAAATGTTTTAGGTGGAAAAGGTCCCAAAAAGAAGACCAAAATGTCCAAAAACAAAAAGGGAACAAAGAAATAAAAACAATCACACTGACTACAATAGAACAATATAATATAATTTATTGTTAAAATGTCCTTCTCTGACACAAACTGACCACAGGAGGCAGCAGTGGGCCAGCAGCTGTGTCGCTTGGAGCTAAAATCCCTGATTCTCTATGGACTTTGGTAAATGGTTAACCGAGAAACACAAACTGGAATTTGAAATACCAACCAAGACCGAATCAAGACGAAAACAGAAGAAAAAATGGACTTTGTGATAAAAGTTTAATGCCAGTGCAACAGGAAACACAAATAATGGCCTGAGCCGCAGGAGGACGGAGTGAAGTGGAATTCAGACGAGTCGTGGTGGACTTGACTTCAAAGCATGACATTGATCTGACATCTGAGCAAAGACCAAAGCTGCTCCTCCAGGACAGACCTCCTCCCCCGGGGCTGTGGGTGTGATTAGAGGAGATCATCTCTGAGAAGGAGCTTCCCATGGGGTTTCACTCCTGATCCTGATGCGTCGCCTCCTTCTCTGTGACTCCTGTTGGACTTCAGGTACACACTTGGTCTTATAATCCAGAGTTTAAAATAAATCTGGTTTCAGTTCTGCTTTATTTTTACATCAAAATGATGGTCTACTTTGGAGCAAAATGCACAGTAAAGCATGACACTCTGCCACTAGTGACACCTACAGGCCACAAAATGATGCAGCTTTGGTAGAATCACAAATCCAGAGTTCTAATTTTACATTTTAATTTTAGCTCCAATTGAAAAAAAAATCAGAGTAAAGAGGAGGAAAATGTGACCAGCAGTCTTTGATGCTGGATCGGTTCTGTCAAAGAGGGGCGGAGCTAAACTCCTCCGAGACATCTGACTGAAGAATGAACTCCCAGCCAAGAAATACAGCAAATAAAACAGGCCAGGAGAAAAGGAGACAAAAGAAAAAGAGATGAAAACTGAGGAAGAGAAGAAGAAGAAGAAGAGACTCAATTTAAAAAAACACAAAAATTCAAACTTTTTTTTTCTGTACCCTCTAGATACATTTCAATAGGACCACTGTCAGCCCGTCTCCCCCGTGTTGAGACATGCACAACTTGTTCTTCAACATTTTACTGAACTTAAGTTTAAAATATAATTCCTGTTTTTTTTTCTTTAAAGAGAGTAAAAGGATAAATCAGTTCAGAGGAAACAACAAAGACAAATGAGAGAACAAGGAACCAACAACCAGGGTGGACCAATCACCTGCAGACCAACGACAAACATCAACACAACCATGGCCGCTGTGAAAGACAAAGGACAGAGTTGGACACAGAACAGCTGAGGTGGACCAAACAGATGAACAAAAAGATGTTCAAATGGACAAAACATGAGACAGAAAGGACTTGAAGGAGACGTGGAAGGATTCCTGTCTTTTTGGATGTTCACGTGCTGACAGAACAGAGGAGGGAAAATGACGTGGTTGATGGAGTTTCATGTTATTTTCCGACCCACTGCGTCTTAACTGTTTGTGTGCTAATGAAGAAAATGCTGCCGGTGATCATCAGCAGGAGGCAGCATGTATCACACTCCTCCTCCTCCTCCTCCTCGTACTCCCTCCTGCTGTGTTTCTTTCAATAATCCCTTCTGTTTAATTTCTGCTCCTCCTCCTCCTCATCACCATCATCATCATCATCATCTATTCCTCCATCCTTCAGCTCACACTCACTCCCACTCATCACATTTTTTTTCTCATTTTCTCCATGTTCACTGGTGACTCTCTCTCTCCCTCTCTCTATGTCACACACACACACACACACACACACACACATAAACGATTGTATCCCCTGATTAAGTGTGTGTTACCCCATATGAAATATATGGAACTATTTTGTGTTTAATGTTAGTGACAAACAGACTAAGATGAAAAGTGTTATCTACAGAGACGTCCCCCTGAGATTCACACAAAGGTAAATAGACTGAAGTATTAATACTGTGTACATGAAGTACTCTGGATAAGATATGAAGGAGAATTAGTCATGGCCTTATGTCAACGGTGAGATACTATTGCAGTTCCTACAGTATAACTGTGTGTACACTAATGAGTTCTACAATACTGAGCAATACCTTGTAAAATTCTAATAATTAAAAAATGTTCCATGAGTCAAATGAATAGTGTTATAATGTTCAATAAAACGTAGTTTTCTTTAAGAATGCCTTTCACTTCAATTAAGATTTCAGTAAATGTCAGAAAGACGGAAAAATGATTTTGGTCGACTTTTAAAATATCGATATTCCGTCAAGTAAAACTGAACTAAAAGTAAAACACTTCTAGTGACCGGAAAATGTACAAAGACTGAGTTAGAGTCCAGTCGATAACTGACCGTCAACAGTCAGACTGGATGCAATTGTTTACAAAGACAGAAATAACCAGATAACCAAGCTTTTGATTTTCTGTCCGTCCCTGTGTCCATGTAAACACCTGATGTGTCTCTGACCTCCTGGTGGATGTCACAGTGTCCTCCCTCTGGAAATGTCACAGATTTGTCTTGGTTTGGAAAGAATTTTGCAGATGTAAACACGGACCGAAGCTAAACAGTCGTCCTGGACAAAAAATAAACCGAGATAAAACTGATAAAACTTCCATAAACATGGAAATGTGTGCTGCCTTCACTGAGCTCACGGAACTGGACTTCAAAATATTCTTTCTCCACATCCACTAGGTTAGGTCTCACTTAACACGTTACTGAAGTTCCTTTCCTCTTCCTTCATTTCCTCCACACACCCTGGTGTTGGAGGACAGTGTTGGGCTGAGACCACACACCAACCAGAGACTAAAACCAACAACAGCCTGTGTTGATTTGATGTGTTCACTTTAACTTCTTCCACTGTGCAGCTCCGCAGTCCCAGGTTTTTAGTTTTCTCCAGAAGTGATTGAAATTGAAACTCTTTGAAAATAGACTCAGCAGACTTCATAAAAAAAAAACTTAATGAGAAAACATAGAAGCTTCTTCAGACGGAGAGAAACTGCTGATTGGTGCAGAAAGTTGGAGTTAATAAACTAAAGTTCATTTACATTTAACTCAAACTGAAGGGATTTCACTTTAATTGGATGGTTCAGACAAATGTGATTCTGCCGCTGCAGGGAAGCAAATTACATTCCTTTAAACAGATCTGCAGGATTTTCTAAACTTTTTTTTTTTGCTTTTTATTTTTTTCCAGAAAAAACATGAAAATGAACAAACACTGACTGTTGAACTAGGAAACAGCCGTGTGATCAAGACAAAATGTCACAAAAGAAACACATATAACAAAAACAATCACAGAGAAACAAGAGCAATGAGACAACACAACCATGACAAAACAACCTTCGAAACCACAGACCAACTACAGACAGGAAACACTTCACACTTGAAGCAAAAAACACATCTACGAGACAAAACGAAAACCTCCACTAGGGGGCAAAAACAAAGTCACCAAAGGGTGTCAGGACAGGAAGTTACAAACTTCATACCAAGCACTTGTTTGTTGTCATAAATTAGTCAACAAATAAACCGTTTTTGAACAATCATCTGAAAAATTCATCAATTTTTTTTCATAAAATGGAACACTGCAGAATGTTTGGCTTCAAATAAATAGAGACTTTTTTATCAACACTTCCTGATTTGGTCTTTGGATTATTTTTGTTTTAATAAATAGATGTTATTCATTTTTAATTATAATATTGATGGGAATTTTTGAATTAAATAATAAAAATGTGTTAGAGACTGGAGGAAGAAAATTAAAGGATTTTTTTTTTTCTGCCGCAGCAAACAGATCATAAAACTTGACTAAAGTAAAAAAAAAACAAAACTCTGTACATGAACGAAGCTGCCGTGCTCCTCTGATAAAGAGAACACCTCCTTTCTCCTCCTGCCACTCTGGAAAATTCCTAGGACTAAAACGGAATAAACCTGACTTGGTTCTCTTTGACTCGTCAGGTTAAACATTAACGGTGAATAAAATCATGGAGGCTGAGTTCTGTTCTCCTCCGACACCAGGACAGACAGGAAACTGAGAAGATAAAACTGACCAACTGACCAACTGACCAACGGACGACGACAGCAAACGTGGTCAATAAATAGCACCATAAAATCATCAGGGCTTTAAAAAATGATGTTGTAGCTGTGTTTACAGGTACGAGGATGTTATCTGCTCCTGCTGAGGTATTCTGGGGAGCAGCAGCAGGAGGAGGAGGCTGACATTTCACAGTTTGATACGAAAAGACATTTTTATCAGTTGTTTTCACTGTTAAATCTAAACCTCGCTCCTGTTTGTTAATCAGAGGCGACTGAAGCGTATCAAAGTCTAAATATTTGTCCCCGTTTGTCTCGGTGAGATAGTTTTGGAGGAACAGACAGGGTCGAAACATGGAGAATGAGGAGGAGGAGAACAGGAAGAGTCAGGAACGTCAGCCAGAAAAAATATGTGAGGGTAAAGACTGTCCCTCCAGTTCTCCCCTCACACTGGTCCTCTGCTGCACCACCTTTAAAACACTGTAAAAGAAGAAAAAAGATGCCATTTTATTATTAAAAAGATCTAGCATATTTTCCAGACTATAAGTCATGTTTTCTTTAATAGTTTGGCTGCTGCTTCGACTTATAATCAAAACATCGCCCATATCATAAATGGCCACAGGAGGGCACTGTCTACACTCGTGACAACATGATACTACCACTGAAAAATGACAACTAAACCTTAAAGAAAAGAAGCATGAAGAACCTAATGGTACTAACTGGAACTGATGCTGAAGGTGTGTGTGATGACAGACCCACAGAACAGGACAGCTTCTTCTCTGGGTTTGGAACAATTGTTTACAAGCAACAGACGCAACTGAAGTTCTGGTGCCACTTATGGTCCAGACATTACGATCAGTTAAATCCCTGCACGCTCTACTGTACCTGGAGGTTAGAGCTGCAGGACAGACATTGTCAGTACTGACAGAGTCAACATGGCTGTTGACAGAAATGGTCCTGACATTTTAACAAACGTGTCTACGACGCAGCTGCTGCTGTGGTGTTAGTCTGTGTCTCTGAGCTAAAGCTGCCTCAAACATGAAGTCACACCTTTACACTCACTGAGCAGCGATCTAACACGGTCGCTCACCGTCAGTATGGAGAGGAGGAGGAGCTGAGGTAGCACTGCTGTGTCTGGGAGGCAGGGGGCGTCATTATGGTGGTAGGAGACATAGGCTGGAGTGTCAACAGAGAGGACATGGGTGAGAACTGAGGGGAAGTCAGGCAGGAGAAGCCTCCCCCACCACAGACCATGACCCCTGGTGGTGAAGTGGAGATGTGTGGAGGAGAAGGGCTGCTGTCAGATTCACTGGAGGACCAGTTCAGGAGGGACGGGTCTGGAAGACAGGGGGAGAGGGGAAGGGCTTAATATCTGGGTCTTTGGATTTGATTCTTGATTTGATTCTGAGTCTGAGTGAGTCTTTGGTCTTTACCCTAGAATCTGTATCTGGGTCTAAGGTCAAAAGGTCAGAAATGGCTTTGTTACAGTTTAAGGAGGTAGAAATGTTTGGATGCTCCTCCGACTGAAGTCTCCGCTTTAAACTAAGAGATTGTCATGTTCCTGGTGCTATTTTGTAATACAATATATTACCGATATATTATTATATTATGATATATTGAATAGTACTTAACAGTACTACAATTCCTCCCTTGTAGCTTGCACTAATGAGAAACAAACTGGTTACTCAAACATGTTGTGCTGTGTATATTTTAGACAATGTAACCAATATAGAACGTTCTGTTCATTTATGGATACATCTGCTGCCAGTGTAATCCTCATTGTCTGCACCAAGAGAACAGGGAACAAACACCCAGGAACCCAGGAGAGAGCCATCTTTGTGGAGACAGAATGTTTATCTTTCATTGGTTCTGCTCAGCCTCTGGAGTCACAGGAATATAAGAAAATGCTCAGTGATTTGGAGCCTGAACACTCACAGCTGCACTCTGCAGGTTTTCTCTAAACAAACAAAAAAAATGTCTTAATTGCATTTTATACTGGCTGCCAGTCGGTACCATGGACCAAAGGGAGAAGAGCCTGCTGCCTGGGAGTCAATTAAAAAAGCACTCGAGTTCTGAGATGCTTTTTGTCAGTCTGTTTCTCTTTGCTGACCCACTTTTCTCCTACTGTCTGCGGGGCTTCAGTTCCTCCTCAATGTCCCACTTTTAAATGGCTACACACTGAATTAGACACTGGGGCTCCGAGCCCAAGAGACGAGAGGTCTTTAGAATTATTCAAGAGAGAGAAGCTCAGGACAGAACAGCTGGGACAAAGGCATGATGGGAGATTCTTTCAAAATCACCCTATGAGTTTAAGGCTGTTACAGCTTTGACTTAAATCTCATTAAAACGTCATTTTGTCACATGTCACTCTCCCTGTCCTCAGATGTTTACAGCTTTTTAACATCAGCTCAGGCAGCTGCCCTAAGACTGAATGGCCACAGGGGGGCATGTTCATTTCATAAGACAAAAACAAGACTTTTGAGGTTGTGTTTCTATAGGTGACGTTCTGTGAACATCGCCCTCTTCTGATGAACCTCTGCCTCCACACAGACTGTACCAGAGTGTCTTTTTGAGGCTGAACATTCCCATCCAGTTGATGGTGATAAAGAAAGATGGTAATAATGAAGGAAGAGTAAGTCACAAGGAAGTGAAAGTCTATAATGGCTCCAGCCAAGAGCACCTGAAACCTAACACCGTCACAGAGTCAATGAAGTCTGTGACGGTGTTGGTCATAGAGGTTCTTACAGTTAGTGAAGGAATACACGTTGGCTGTGTTAACCCCGAGTGGCCGGTGGCTGCACTGAGCTGCAGGATAACTGAAACCACACACAGATGATTTCCTCTGTATGTGAGTGTGTGTGACCGCTGTGATCCTGAATGTCTGTTTGTTTGCCTTCACCTTGGGTTCCCTCTAGGACTCAAACTGTGTCTCTGCACGTGAAGATTTTTTTTCCCCACAAATATCTGGCTCCTCAAAGGTAGGAGCCAGCTGTGATTGGCTCAGTGGGAAACCCAGATGGAGGGAACTCAGGCAGAAGGAACAGCAGCAGCAGCTGCCCCCAGCGGTCCGGTGATTTCTGCAGAGTGTGTGTGTGTGGGGGGGAGGGGGACCTGCAGGGTCTTCATCTTTAAAACATCAACAGACCTTAATATAGGAAGTAGATTTACACTAAGAATCCATCAGTTGGATAATTTAAAGCAGTGGAGAGAACTGTACTTTTGAAGGAACCTCAAACTCTGCTGTGACGACTCTCAGAGACACAAATAAATGATGTCACCAAACCCTGATGTCTGTCCAACAACTTCTGTATATACACTGGTGACCATGTGTGACCATGCTAAAGATGCTAACCCCACTCCCTCTGCCACAGTGACACTGACAGGACTGTGTTTGTTAGTGTGTGTGTCTTTACATGAGTATGTGTTTTAACGAGTTTGTGTGTATGTTTTGTTTAGTTTTAAGGAGTGTGTGTGTGTGTGTGTGTTACAGACCCAGGGTCCAGAGTACAGTCTGTGCAGCCACCTCCTTGGCGTCCTCCAGCAGCACACACAGTCTGTCGGGGGTGTAGGTGCGTTGTGTGGCTGTGATGACAACCTGGAGACAAGAACAGTGACAATTATGTGTAAACAGCGCCTCTGTCTGGCCAGAGGTTTAACGAGTCTGTGCACAGACTTTATATAGAAGCAGCAGCTGGCCGTCCAGCCCGTGGGTGGAGAACAGGTGGTACTGGGGTGGAGACAGGAAGTGTTTGTAGCAGTAGAATTCCAGCAGACCTACGGCCGAGTTGATCTGACTCTGCTTCACTGACAGAACACTGGTGGGGTAGAGTGTGATGCCAGGCCGCAGTGGGATCACACTCCTCTCCTGGAGGTCTGGAGACACACATAATAACACAGACCTTTGTTGTAGTAACTGGATGCTGGATCTACTAGATCTCCTCACATCCTGATTGGTTCTCATCAAATCTTTGAACCAGAACAAAGATTGTCTTTGTCAAAAGTAAAAGAACTGAAGTTCTGGACTTGTCTCTGCCTTCATCAGATTGAATCAGAGTGGAGGCTGTTCCCTGGAGTCTGTTCCTCCCTCCGTCATGTCCTCCTCCATCTTTCACTCATAAATATTTTAAAAGCCTGTAAATCTCAAACATTACTAATGTACACAAATGTCTGATGGTGTCAAGGAAATGAAGACAGCTGAAGTGTGTGAGAGAAAGACATGCATTGATGGAGGTGGTGCAGGAGGAGTTGTCTGCAGAAACTAAAAGCTGTTCAGAAGACCTGAGAACATAGGTCTTCTGCTGTCACATAGGAATCTGCTGTCACAAAAAAAGAGTAAAAATAAAGATTTCTTGTAACAGCTTCACCTTACTGACAACAATCACTAATACTGAGTTTGATGTTAGCAGTAATAACTACATTAGTAAGACAAAAGGAAGAACTACAGCTCCCCCTGGGGGTACTGTACTGTACTGCACAATATCATTGCAAACCCCCAACTACAAATCTCTTACCCACTCCCTCTCTTGGGTGTAAAGAGCTTCTGAGGCCAGGTGGGAGGGACGGAGATCTCAAGGGTGAGGATCTGCTCTCACCTGGACCCACTATCCCTTCTTGCTTCCTGTGTGACACCTCATTTCCTCCTCTTCTCCCTCCTCCTGTGTTTCTGTCTGTAGCCTTGCTCACAGACTTTCCCTCAGCTGTTGCAGCCTCTCTGACCCTTGAAGGTTTGGCCAGGAGCACCTCCACAGTGGCACCGTCCACTTGGGTGCCGTTCATTAACCTCAGGGCGGTGAGGGCCTCCTCCCGGCTGCGGTAGTGAACAAAGGCGTAGTCGGTGAGCTTCTTGACCCGCTCTACGCAGCCCGGTTTGAACTGGGAGAACTCGTGACGCAGGGTCTCCTCGGTGGTGGTGCTCATGAGGTTACGCACCTGCAGGAATAAACAGTGAAGAAGAACAGTGAAGAAGAACATAAATAAAAAACCAAAAACTGAAAAAGAAGGAAAATGACAGGAAAGAAAACTTGGGGAGGACCATCATAAAAAGGAGGAGGAAAGAAAATCTATGAGAAGGAAAAGGGAGAAAGAAGAGGAAGAATCTGGAGGACTAGGAAAGAAAAAGAGAAAGACGTATGAGAGGAAATAAGAGGACAGGAGAGTAAAGTACAGAAGATTAATGGAGCACCACACTGAGACTAGACCTGGTTCTGAAATGTAGTGAGTCATAAAACAACATCTGCTGAGTTGGAACAGACCACAGTCTAAGATCTGAAAGTTCACATTCACTGTGGATCACTGCACACACACACCCTGTACCCACAGTGAACAGCTCCCCCTGTTGATTTACATTACTGGCCTTTGAGCAGAACAGAGCTGTTTAATATTTCACTGCAGTGTTTTCCCCTAACTTCCAGACCTTTCGCTTTAGGATATTTAACCAAAGGTGAAGAAAGTAAACACAGCAGAGCTTTAAATTCAGAAACTTCAACAAAATATAAAAAGAGAGAAGTTTCTTCAGAGAGACAAACTATTTAAAAAAACTGAAGGAAAACGACTCTAACAGGAAGCAGAGTGAAGCCAGTGAAGCCTTTACTGTCCTAGACAAAAATGATAACCCACCCATGTTTACTTGCATGTTTAGTAACGTACATAAAGCACTTTGACCTGCTGCATTACATCCTCGTCCACATTCTTCTCAGGCTCTGCCCAGTCCACCTGGATGGCATTTCCCCACAGGCTGAAGTGTCCTGTCAGACAGAGTTAAAACCAGCCATGACCTTAGACCAAAACTTCAATCACTTCAATCATCACAGATCACTGACACAGATACTGAGATAAATACCCTGATCCTAAATGTCATCATTGAATCAATCTCTTAATGTATAATAATAATAATAACCAGGTGCAAGTTTCCTGCGAGCCATGGCTGCAGCTTTGTGAGATTTATATTCCACAAAGGCGAATCCTCGATTTTTGCTCTTGTCAGTGGAGGTTGGATACATGATGACATCAACCACATCATCTGTCAACTGACACACAGACAAGACAGAAATAATTAAACTCTGACGACATTGTTTGTTAATTAATTATTAATTCTTTATCTGTACAAGTGGTCATTATTTATCATCAACACAGTAAAGGCCACAACTTCTCTGTGTCGGATCACTTTGTTGAAATGAAGCACAACAAACTTGTTTAAATGTGTGTTCACCTTCTTCATCTCTGCCAAGACATCATTTTTACTCTTGTCTCTAGGAATGGAACCGATGAATAGGCGACAGTTGTCCAGACTCACGCAGACGCCGATGAATTTTCCTGATTGGATCTCAAAGTTGTCCAGCATCTGGATGGCTCTCTGTGCCGCCTCTCTGCAAAGTTGTTATTTTAAAAATTAAACTCTGTGAGCTCGGCATCAAGAACTGATGTGTCCACCAATGTAATGACACGTGGCTTCACTACCTGTTAGCATACGTGACAAAGGCGTAGCCTCTGTTTTGACCACTGTACTCCATCATCAACCTGAACTCATAGATCTTGCCCACGAGCTCAAAAAGAGGCACCAGCTGATCCTCAAATATGTCACGGGGAATCTTTCCCACAAATACCTCACAGCCCCGAGGAGGTGGCGGTCCCTCCCAACCTGGAGCAGGCATGGACACAAAGAGTTCTCAAAACCTGAAGTTAGCTCATCAAGATCATACAATGAGCATTTAAGTACTACAATACAACTGTAATATTGATAGGAGATTAGAATAGGTAAAACACAGACATGAAAAAGAAAATGGTCAACTTTTTTCTGTATTACAGAAGTCCATAAAGACAACCAGACACGGGAGCTGATCTCCTGCTCCCTCATGTGGTCAGTTTGAGTTACTGAAGATCACTCTTGCGCACTGGGTTGAAACTTCTGCTAATTTGGTCATCATCAAAAATGTTTTTCCACATTCATACCAGGTGGTGGACCTCCAAACTTCCTCTGCCCGTTCTCCTGGATGACAGTGTAGCCCGAGTGCTTCATCATGAGGAGTAAAGACTCCTCATTGATGCTGCACGATTCCTCATCATCTTCAGCTGCTGACAGGGCGACCTTGACAGGACTTCTGTCCCCGTGTTTGTCCAGCTCTGTGCCCATCTGTGCAGTAAACACACATCCGTCAACACGCTCACACTCTCGCCACCTTCTGACGTTTGCACCTCACAGATTGTACTCGACACCCATCAGTTCATCAAACCACCAGAATTTAGTTCTCTTGCAGTTCAAGCTTCAGTAATTGGGATCTATTTGGCAGATTCAAAACCACGACATCACCTGCGTTTATCCAATTCACTTGTCATGTTTATGGAGTTGTAGCCTTTTGTCACTGTTGGTAGCGAATGACTCATACACTTGTGTGCTATATGTGGGTGTTATTTTTGCTTGGCCATTTTATTCAGGTGAAAAATTGCCAAAAACATACATAAGTAATCACTTAAGGCTATTTTACTTAAAAGCTATTTTAAAAATGCAAAAACAGGTCACGGAGATATACTGAAATTAAGATAAATTGATTAGCATATTATAAAGTATTATTAAGTATCCATTAACCAAAGTTAATGGATACTTAATCAAAATTTTGAATAAATACATTTTAAAACCAGCTTTAAAACTGAGCTCTGGAATCAAAAGATTTTTACATAAAACATTTTAAACAACAATATCGATTCTGAACATTTCTACCCGGTGAACAGAATGACAAAGCAATTTTTAAAGGTTGGTTTTAGCAACACTAATTAATCAATTATTAACTCTTAAAAATAATATTTTCCTCAACAAAATCATCAGTAGATGTTTTAAAAGCGTATAGAGATAACCATTAAATGACAATAAGAATACATAGTTATACTGAATATTTTAAAACTTTGTTAGAGTCAGTTAGCAGGAGCGGCTAAACTTAGTTGCAACATTAGCTTAAACTTTAACCGCTGGTCACGCCAAGCGCGTTCACGTCCGCCAAAAAGTTTTTAAAAGAAAATTATGATTAGTCGGCATTACACTTTAGGTGGCATCGGACAAAATTAGATTTCTGGATAAAAGATGATACACATTAATAAAGAATTGAATACTTACGTTTAAGATAAACAGCAGCGTTTCTTGTCAACGTTCCAGGACTTTGACTGACGTGAGCCGATTCGCGCTAAATCAATCAGCGCAGGGCCAACGGCTCGATAGGCGGGATTACACGACTTGTAAGTAACATGTGTTTGTTATGTGCAGCACCAAACAGTAAATAAAATACAAAAAATGGAAACATATAATAAAGTTTAAAGAGCGATTACGCAGGCAAGGATGTTTGGTTTAATGTTGATAAACAAAAAGAAAGATGATATTTTCTCTACATTCATTATAGTAGCCACAAGGTGGCAGTGTTATTCATGAAGCGATTACTGTGTATACAGTTGAGAATCTCGGCTCATCTGAGAGGGCCAGTTCTTATGGCTTGGCTCTCTAGAAAGGACAGGTTCTTTTGGATCACAAATGGCTATTAGGGATTTTTGTTAATTAAATTGATTAATCACAATAAAATTCATGTAGGTCAGAAACACTACAGTCTGGAAATCATTCCAAAGGTCATTGAAAACTCAAATGTGAACACATTCAACGTCTCTTCTCCCACTGTCTGACAGAGTAGAAGGATCAGTCAGTTCATCAGCAGATACAGGAGTTCCTAAAGTCACGGAACCGGAAACAGAAACTCTTTTCGTTGTTTTGATAACGAGCGGTTTTATTTTGAAAGGTTTCCGCCGCAGTTACGGAGTTTCGCTGTTGTGAATAATTGACGCACATTTAGACGAAGAAACAGTAAAAGGAGTAAATAAAAATCGTCGTTCGGTATTATTAGCATTAGAGGCGCAGTGTTAATATTTTTGGTTTACATGTATCATTAAAATGTCATTTGTTTTTAAGTTACATATGTAGTCAACTAACTGCCACTTAATGATCGTTAATTAAGTCCTAATCATTGTGCTGCATTGGCGCCGATTCCGTGGGTGCTTCGGGGTTCGGGCACCCACGGAGATTGCCGAATACCCAGGTGTGCCCACACTTCTCATTGATTTGCTAATGACCACGCCCCACTACCTATCAACGCTTTGCATTGTGATGACAAACAAACTGCCAAAATGGCTGGGTGGCAACTTGCTGCTAAAACTAGCATAGTGGTTGATTTTGCCAACAAAAATGGAGAAATGTCCACCGAACACGCAGCGTCGTCCAGTATCTTGTCAACGACTGCAGTAGTGGTACAGACGTGAGGCAGAAAAAATGTCGAACTTTTCAAGCTAGCTGAAAAGGCAAATTTCCATGGAGAGCCAACGATGCCCAGAAAACAAGCTTCCAAAGGAATATGGCACACTGGACGTAAGTGTACCACTGCTGTAATACTTGAATGCTAACAAGCCTTCAGTCACTAGGTGGCAGCAACTCATACAGTGGTTTGTACAGATAAAAATATACACGTTATCAGGTTCTCAATTGTATTTCAATTTGCGGGGTTGTAACATTATTACATGGTAATCTTGTATATAACTTATTTGGTGTAAAACAGGGATCACCAAGTCAAGATTTATATTCCTTACAATTTGTATTCTTTAATTATCATGCTCCACAACTTAATAGTAGATTTATCAAATAGGTTTATTATCTTATAGTACAGCTCCTATGAAAATCTGGTATTAAGTTATAATCAATATTTATCCAATGTGCTGTATAGTAGGCATCACAGTACGGCTCTCACCTGTGCTGCAACATGAACTATTATGTTGCATAATTGTTCATGGATGGCAATCCCCATTCTCCCATTTATTTTGGGAGTTGTAGGGTTTTATATCGTATTCTGGGTCTTTTCCCCTGCCATATGAATGTAGAAATCATTTTATTCCATTCTGTAAGGTCATTCTGGGTAATAGTTATTGGAATCATCTGAACGAGGTCATTTTGATAGTCTCATTTCTATCTACCAAAGTCTTCCTTAATTTAATGATACAAACAGTTAATTGGTTTTTCAAATATCAGCTTCAGTTTTGTCAGTATTTAGTATGACAGTTGTTGTCTGTTACCATTGTGCCTATGACCCTGTCCTGACTGCATGTCACTGCAAGAGTCCTCATCTTTGTCTTGGCTACTGCTACCATTTACATTCATGTCCTGCTACTCCTGCTTGTCCTCCTTCTCCTAATCCTCTTCTCCCTCCATCTTTTCTCTTCTCAGTCCTAATTCCTTCTTCACCCTCTGCATCTGAAAACCAAACCTCAGGAACAATGGAGCTTTCATTGAGGGCCAGGTCACAAGAATAAGGTCTACACTGATCTGAGGTCGGCTCTTTAGCAGCGGTAAGGAGCAGCAGGAGGCGCTGTGTTCATTCATGCATTCATTCATTTGTTTAATCACAGAGTGAGGTTTTTATTGTATGTGCTCCTGGAGTTTGGAGAAAAGAAGGGATTAAGGGGAAATGTAATAGGGGATAAGAGCTCGAGGGAGAAAGGAACGATGCAAAAAAGGGGATTAAGTGAAGAAGAATGAATAAAATTCAATATTGGGGAGAAGGTAGACGACCTGAAGAAAAGTAGAGAAAGGGAGACACCTAGAAACAATGAAAGGTGTGAGGGGAAAATGTGAGTGTTTTGAGGAAGGAAGGCAGATGAGGAGAGGTTAGAATAAAATTAAGCAGGCAATTTTCAGGAGATGGACAAGGAAGGGAGAAAATGAAGAAATGAGAGTAGGTGAAAAGTGAAGAGAAAATACTGCAATAAGAATAATTATAATACAATTTATAAATCTGATTTTAATTGTAGCCTCTGCTGCTCCCTAAAAAGAGCCACTAGAGGGCAAAAGACACAAACCGCAGACAAAATGATGGCGTTACTCTTACTTCCATTTACTGCTGTGTGTCATAAAATTTATATAATGCATTTGTCATTTTACACTTTATTTACAAAACAGGATATGAAGTGTTGCATTTTTATAAAAAGTATTTTTATGTACAAAAACTGATAGAGTGATACAAACGCATGTACAGATATTTACACAAAAACTTAAAGGGTTGAAAACATTGTTTTCTTCTATTTCTTTGTTTACTTACAAATACAACTATATGATAAGACCACAAGCAGACATTTCTGAATTTAATTCTTTCGCCACTAGTTGGTGCTGTTTCTGGACATTTTTGTCTTTTACCTGGTTTGATCCTCACCCAGTTGCTAATGGTGCTTAATACGAACCCTTAAGCTAATTTCAAACACAGAAAATTACAATAGAAAATACTAATAAAAGGGTAAAATGTTCTTGTGGATGACTCTTTTGTTCCTGTGGCTTTGCCAACGTGGCTACTGTCCGTGTTCCTGCATCATTCTGGAGCATTTTAGCTCGCCATCCACATCGTGAAGGGGATGAGAACGGTGGGCAAGACAGTGCTGAAGGATAGACCCAAATACATCACGGACAGGAGACCCAGCAGCGCCACCAACAGGATGTTACTTTGGTTCCGGATCAACGACTTCAGCCACTCACAGAACTGGAGAACAGAGAGATGCTTTTATTATTGAGCAGCACTGGACAGCAGCACAGCTGGCCAATCAGGACACTTGTTTATTAACACGTTCAAGGCCAGATGCTAACTCCATGTACCATTTTCTGTGATATTTTGGAAGCTGATGTCAATATGCTGAAGAATCTTGGCGTGTCTGTTCTAGGAGCGCCCCCTACAGTTAGACAAGTGGAAAAATGTGGTCACACCTCGACCAAATGATAAACTCTAGTTTAATTAAAATAGGAAGACAATGCAACAGGTTTTTTGGTTGATGTTTTTTCGATGGCTTGGCATCACGTGGTTGGATGTTGTTACTGAGGTAAATCTATGATGATGATCCAAGAATGTCACTGACCTGTGTTTCTTTTTAACTACAGGGCCCACAGAGGCGCCACTGCACACCCCTCCACATTAATGAGGCTGTGAGGAACAGACGGTGACGTTGCAACTGCTCACAGGTCAGATGTTTAAGTTAGTACGATTACAGGAAGTGTGACTGGATCAGGAGGATCCTCCTCAGTCCAAGACAGAACACTGAACAAACGCTGCTTCAGAAATGGAACTGGATAGAGAAATAATCGATTCAGAATGATTGCACACAACCCATGAATCCAAGATGGCTGCAGGTCAGACATGAAACACAACTGAATATGAATTGAACTCCCCAAGGTATTAGCATTTAGCTTTCATTCTCTCATTCAATACAAGTTATTTTTTTTAACAGTTATCGAGGGCAAATAATATTCAGTGAATAGAAACTTAAATCTGAGTTTTGTTTTTTATGACAAATTACCTGGATCAGCTGATTAGGCTAGAGCTGGCTACGTTTTATAAAATATAATTTTACTCCTTATTTGAAAACAACATAACCAAACAAAATGTAGCTAATGCTACTGTGTGCTAATAAAAAGACTAGAAAAACATTTGTGACACACCTTTATTATAAACTTTACAACAAAGCTGCGCAGCAGTTGAACAAAGGCATCAGACATTAGGCCTCTTGGTTTCTTGCGAGGTGTTAAAACTGTCGATGAATTGGAGGCAGTTGGGTAATAGCTCAAGTCGAGTGTGATTCCTCATTAGCATTTAGCGTTGGTGATTTTAGCAGATTTAGCAGGGTTTTTTTCTAAGCCTTTCAGGTTGTCATATTCCACCAAAATGGTTTAGTCGTTTCCTTCCTGATGTTTTTAAAGAAACATGAGGCAGAAGATCAGGTAGCTCAGCTTCTTTCACCTCCTCCTGGTCCCCCTCCTGCTTCATCATCATCACCATCATCACTTAGCTCCTACTGCTGCTGCTCTGTGGTTTCTGGCTCAGGAGGTTCAGTGCCTGAATGCTGCTCTTGTTCTCTTGACTTTTCCGAGGAGCGACCCACATTTTCCCCTCATTAAAAAAAGAGGAGGAACCAGCCCTTGGAGGAGTCAAGAGTCGGTATTTCTAAACTTTGACCTCTGATTATTTCTGTCGCCAGCTCTGATTGAAAACAGCTGCTCCACAAATCAGCACTTTGAAAAAAGGTAAATAATCCAGAGTAAGCCTCAACTCAGTAATATATGACCAGTCATCTCAGGAATTATGGGTAATTTTGGATCATTTCCACGCTGCCACAGTTTGGATCTGTGTTTAAGCTGCAGCAGAAGAACATTTTTCAGCCACTACGTCAACATTAACCTTTTTCCAAAGCGTTAAACCAACCATCAGTTCAGCTGAGGAAGCTAAGTTTGACTTCTGTTTTTGTACAAGAAAGGACTTATGATTATGAAAAGATGATTTCTTTTAATGAGCATTAAAGAAACATTTTGGCATTTTCACTGATTATATTTATTATCGGAACAATGTGGATTTTATTTTACCAACTTTTAACTTGGTTTCTGGCTGAAATCCTACCGTTCACTCTTAGCTATAGTTGTGCAGAGGTACATACAATGTTTGATTGTTTTGGTTTTGTATTCAACTAACTTTACCTTTTGTTGTTATTTTTCTGCCATAATCTTAACATTTTGGTGATGATTACAATTTTTTTACCAACTGTTTGTCTTGCTGTGTTTGCTTTAGCGATCAGTGGTTGTTTTCAGTCCAGGCTCCTCGGGTGTCCTCTTGTCCTCTCCTCTCCAAAGATCCAATGGTCTTCTGACCTGGTTCCTGGTCTGCTATTCTCTCCACAGATTTTCTTGAATATTGAGGTCAGGACAGCGGGCGGTATTTACTTCCACATGTTTTTCACTGCAGGGACAGTGTCCTTTCATACATTAGATCAGATGGTCTCTGGTCTGTGTCCTCGTCTCTGCAGCAGAGGATGGACTTGAACCTCACAGTCCAGTCGTTAGCAGAACACTGGAGACTGTTTGTTCATCAGCTCCAGACTGGACTCAGTCCCGTCACCCCCACGGCACCCTCAACTTTTCACTGGCCCCCGCTGTAAAAACTCTATGATTGCACCACTGCCAAACATACTTCTTGTGTGATTTTTTTAAATGTCTCGTAAAGAATAATGAAAGTAAAGAACACAGAAGAAGAAGAAGAAGAATCGAGGGACGCGCCTCTTACCTGCTCAGTCTGCAGACTCTGCGCGCTCCCGTAGCGGCAGTAGGTGACGAAGTGCTCGCAGTTGTTCCACAGCAGACTGTAGGACACGGAGCCCAGCAGCAGCTCCCCCCCCCGCGCCACCTTCTCGGCCCCGCGCCGGCGC